AGTGGGGGTATAGAATACCCATCAGTTCATGCACAAACCCATTCCAGCCGTGTGCAGAGGGAGGGCTTTTCCAGGAGCCTGGGTGGTTTCAAACTGGAATGTGAGAAGAAAGGTTGTACCCGTAAGAGTGTTGGTGACCTACACCCAGAAGAAAGGAGGCCCAGAAGCCAGGCTGGACATGTTATCCAGCCCTCGCCCCTACACACAGTTTGACAGCTCTCAGCATGTGTGCCCGAGGCAGTATCTCTGAGAATACAGAAACTCCATTGGTCGGTGATTAAAGAATGTCTTCCTTAAAACTTTGGTGGAGCGCAGTTTCTCCATGCATCGCTCTCCTGGCCATCAGCAAATGTTTACTGAGCAGGACTGCACTGTTTGTACGGCCCTGTCTGAGGCACTGCGCTGCGAAGGTCAGTGCCTGCCTAGCCCTGCATGCCAAAGACAGCTTATAAGAGGTAGTAAAACTTAGCAGGAGGCCGGGCGGGCGCGGTGGCTCACGCCTGTAGTCCTAGCACTCTGGGAGGCCGAGGCGGGAGGATTGCTCAAGGTCAGGAGTTTGAAACCAGCCTGAGCAAGAGCGGGACCCCGTCTCTACTAAAAATAGAAAGAAATTAATTGGACAACTAATATATATAAAAAAAATCAGCCGGGCATGGTGGTGCATGCCTGTAGTCCCAGCTACTTGGGAGGCTGAGGCAGGAGGATTGCTCGAGCCCAGGAGTTTGAGGTTGCTGTGAGCCAGGCTGACGCCACGGCACTCACTCTAGCCTGGGCAGCAAGGCGAGACTCTGTCTCAAAAAAAAAAAAAGCTTTTGCCTTTTCTCTCACAGTGGCTAGAGGCTGGATAAGGTGAGTAGGGAGTAAGAACAAAGGAGAGAAATTAGGTGGAGAAAGTGACAATAGAGTGAGAAGCTGGGAAGCTGGGGAACAATGGCCCCCAGGGCCGAGTAAGGATCGGGCCAAGCACCTAATAGGTCATAATTTCACAACAGCCCCCCTCCCTGCTTATCTGCTCCATTTGCCCTCCCACAGTCACCCTGGGCTCTGAGCTCTGATAGTTCCCAAAGCTTTTCTTCCTTTACTTACTTAAAAAAACTGTGTTATCAGTGTGCTGGTTCTTGCAGCCCCAGGGGCCACTCTAAACTCCCAGGCCAATCCCTAACCCTGTGGTCTCTAAAAAAATTAACTGGAGACAGTGGGGGTGGAAGGACCTTCCACACCATGTGTCCAGTCCTCACTATGGTGCCTTCTGTCCCAACAGGTCATTCTGGGCATCTCTGCTACTAAGATCACCATAATACTCCTCATACTCCAACTTCCCCTGGAGAAGGACTGCACCTGCTCTCTAAATGCTTGTCTTCTGTGCCTTTGCTCATACCCTCCTTGTATCCGAAAGCCTGACCATTATATCTGTCCTTATCTGCCCTTTAGTCCCAAAATCTAGCTCCTCTGTGTGGCTTTTCCTGATTCCTACCCTTAATTAAACTGTCCCAATTAACCTGGGCAGAGGCTCAGCAGAATTTTGGGACTTGATTGCAAACACTGCTTATTATAGCTAGTAGTGAATACAGACATTGTCTTATTCATGCTATGTCCTCCCCATCCCCCCACCTCCACAAAGCCCAAGTGAGCCCTTGCACCAGGTAGCTCTTGCCCAAGAAATGTTGATGGACTTGTTGGACTGAATGACTGAAGGTGTGACAGCTGTGATCAATCAAGATTCCACAGTCACCATTCCCCAGGCCACCCGGAGTGTTTCCACGCCAGAGCCTGCTGCTCAGTGGAGGTGTCATCTGGTTTATTAATTAATGCAAACACTGTTCATCCAAATGCTCCAGGGCATGGTTAAAAAAAGCCTCAGAACATTTAAAAAATGATAAAAATAGTATTTGCCAGCATAGAAAAAAACCGAAGTTTTATTCATAGCCCTTTCAATCCCTGAAGCAATCCCACCCTCCTCACCCCATCATACCCCTCCGCCACCCACCCACCCACCCAGCTCACAGTCCCCCTCTCCCACCTTTCCTACCATGCTGCTTTGGTGCTTAACAGGATTCCTGCCAGTGTTTGCTAATTGGGTTAATGGAGTGACTGTGTAATGTTCTCTCTCTCACAGTCCAACCCACCACACTGGCTGCTTTCCTACCTGCCTCTCATCTGTTCCAGGATCACTAATTTGCAACAACAACTTCCATTGTCATCCACATCTGGGACTTTGGGGTTTTGAGTGAATCTCCCTAAGGCAAAGAACAGAAGATGCTGCTATTTTGGTTTGTCTGGTCTACAATGGGGCCATTCTGCGGGGTTTCTAGGCAGTTAGGGGCTGCCTGGGTGAAGGGGAAATCCAAGCTGTAATGGGACCCAGCCAGAGAGCCAAGGGCAGAGGAAGAGGGAGGGGAGCAGGCAGGGGAGAGGGAGCAGTAAGAACTTGACCTTTTCTTCCCAGCCCCATTTGGGTTTGCATTTCATTTTAATCAGTTTCAGATGAAACTGACAAGCCAGGAGCCTCAGGAATCTCAGTGCCCCCACCTTTGGCCTCTGGTTTCTAGAACAGCCAGCAGCCAGAGTTGGGCAGTGTGTGGCCTGGCCTAACCTAGCTTGCCCCTGGGGAGGCAGCACTGAGGGTGGCCTTTCTGATCCCCAAGGTTCAATCAGAGCCTGTTCTCTCTCAACATCCTTGGAAAAAACCCAAAGCTTTCCTCCCCTGTTGTTTTTTGAGGTGTGTCTATTCTTGAAATCTGTTTCACCTTAAAGGGATTATCACCTGCCCAAAGTAAGGAAATGTCAGGGTTCCTGGAGTGGGGTGCAGCTGGGACAGCGGGAGACAGCCTCAGGGATTCCGAGGTGCTCCTGGGGGTGCCTCTGCTGGTGGGGCTGGCAGGAAGGTGCTAGTACAGTCTCTGGTCTGGGGTTCCTTAGGCTGTTTCTTAGATTGACCTCTAGCTCTGTTCTCACCCTTCCCTCCCCCCTTTCCCCTGCCTCCCTCCCCCCCCCCAGGCAATCCTTACACGGGCTAGGCAGCTCCTGGGCTTCTGATTAGAATCCAGGAGGGCTGAACATGGGTCCTGAGAGGCGGCTCTGGGCTGCTCCCCAGACACACAGGGAGAACTTTTTTTGGCACTTCATACAATGACACTTTACATTGTTCTATCTTGTAACTGGTTTACTTCCTGACTCCCCAAACACTTGGGAGGGGGAAGGAAATGCTTTGACCTCTTTGAAACCCCAGTATACTGGGCCCTGTTATGGTAGGTGCTCCATCAATACTTATTTCTGCCTTCAGTTCTGATTATTTGTAAACTTGTGTGACCCCTGCACCCTCCTCTGCTCTCACTAGCTTTTAAGCTTCTTGTGCAGATCTTCATATTCACTGTAGCACCCCCAGTAGGGTGACAGACCTAGAATGGGTGCTCAGTAAGTACTAATGAATTAAACTGGATTGAAAATTCCTGGCAATCAAATAAGAGCCAATGATATCTCACGAAAGGAAGTATTGAGATGGAGCAAATGCATCAAAACGCATCAAGACTGCCCTCAGCTGAGCTGGGGGTACTTAAGGAACAAGGGACCATTTCCTTGGGACGCCTGGCTATGTGTGACCGTCTGCACACCACTGCCCTCCGCTGGACACGAAGCTGAAGCTGCCCCAGCTCCATATGGCATCAGGACTCCCTTAGGTTTCCTTCCCTCCCTATCTGGGACAAGCCTCCTGGGCAAACCGGTTTTGGTTGGCTTCTCTTACCAGGTTTTTTTTTTTTTTACCCTGACTGCCTTGCATTCAATCCATGAAACCTGGGAAGTATAAGAGGAACAACGTCTTCTTTGACTTCTGTGGGTTCAATAAATATTTAATAGGTGAAAATAAACATAATGACACACATTCCTGGCATGCCAGCAGCACTTTGGACTATTATTATGATTATTAATATGAGAATACATTTAGGGACCTATACTTGTTCTTAGTCTAAAACAGATACAGTGCTGTTTTTAGAAGACAACTCAGGAAAATAAAGAGGGACAAAAAGCTTCAAGTAGAAGAAAGAGTTAAAAAACAGTCATTCCCCTTTATCTTAAAAACAACCACAACCAAACCTTCCTCATCTTGCCTGTCTCTGCAGCCCTTTGGTGAAAGATATGGAAATGGAAGTAAAGGGAAGGGAAGGGAAAGTGAACACAGGTTCTGTCAGGACTTAGAGTGCTCTCTCTTGCTGTGACACACTTTCTGTCTTCAGTTATAAGTATTTGTGAACTTGCCTTATTTCTCCCCCTGACCTCGCTATCTTATAAATTACACTGCCCAGCACAATCACTGATCTACAAAAGGTCTGCAATACAGTTACTGAATTCCAGTGGTCAAATATAGTACATGAGTGGCTGATAATTTGCCAATGGTAACAAAATAATTTTTTTTAAAAAGGAGGCATCACGCTTACTGCTTAGAAATTGTTTTGACTTGCCAAGAAATTGTTTTCTTCTCCCAAAGTTCAACTCTGGGGTTAGCCCAGGACCTGGCAGGCATTTGGATATATGAATCTGAAGCTCAGGGAAGAATCTGGACTAAGTAGAAATCTGGGAGTCACACGGCATGTAGGTGATAGTTAAAACCCAAAGGGTATTGTCCAGGGAGAACCAGAGAGGGTGAAAAACAAAGCCTGGTACTTGAGATCCCAGTGCTAAAATTCCCAGGCCAGAATGGAGCCAGAGCAGGAAAACCAGGGAGGTAAGAGGAAGAACAAGGAAGAATGGGGTCAAAAAGCCAAGGGCTTGGGAAGTTTTAGGGATGAGAGGGTAGCCCAGTGGCCTCGATGCAGCTATATAATCTAGTCAAGAAAGGATTGAGAGACGTCTGCTGGAATGGGCAATGTGAAGCTCAGCTGGGAACCTCAGAAAAGCAGCTTCCGTGGAGGTTTGGGGGAGCACACTGTGAAAAACAGACTTTGGTGGGGATGGGACTGGATGGGAGGCAAAGACATGAAAACAATCACTGGAGACAATGAAGGTAGAGGAAAATATGTTTTAGTTTTTGACCCTGCACCCAGGCTCTGTTCTACCAATCCAGCTTTTATCCTGACATTAGTTACATTTTCTAAAAATCAAAATTAATCATACCCCTCTCTGTTGTGATTAACATCTGCTGGCTCACCAATTGCTGGACAATTAGGAGTGAAGTACGGTGCTAATCTGTTTAGTATCACTTTTCAGACTTGGTTTCTGCATCACCGGTAAAAGAGAGCTGCCTTCATCCCAAATCCTTGAGGCCACATTTCAGAATTCACAGCGTGTTGGATTCTAGAAAGGTGATATGGTACACATGCAATATATTACATAATACCACCAGCGGAGTCTGAGCTCCACCCTGCAATCAAACACACCAAATGGAACAAATAAAGACTGAGCAACCTTACTTGAGGTCAGGTCAAGTTGCCCACTAAAGGAGTTACCAAGATACTTTTGTTTTCCAGAGCTTTTAAGATTTTGGGAATTAGGACAGGGATAAGACCACTCTGGCAGTTGTCCGAAGGCTCGAATGATCTGTGTGTGAAAATGAAACAGGAAGGATAACAACAAAGGGTACAGAAGCCCTGCTCTTCTTGACTGGGAATTAAAGGATTTTTTCTTTTTCTGGCATTGTGTGTGTGTGAGCAATTTATAAAGGACAATCTCTGGTAGCCTTTTGGAAGCCATGTCTCCACAGCTGGAAAGGAATAACCCAGTTTAAAGAATGCATCCGACTGCAGCTGAGGACATTCAAATGGTCAAGGCAGTGCCCCTTCTTCCTCATCTTGATTCCTCTCCCTCTGTAAGGGCTGGAACTCACAGCAATAGGGACCCTCACAACAGCTTTCTGTCATCCTCTCTGCTCTACTGACTGTGAGCTCTGAAGAAGGGACTGGGTCATCCTTGTTCACTCCTGGATCTCCAACACCTAGCTTACCTCCTGATATTTGCCCAGGACGGGCACTTAATATATTTTTTGCTGAATTGAATTGAAACTAATCTCTTGTGTTCCTTGTTTTGACAGAAGGCAAAGTTGGCATTGTCTTAACGTCCATTGTTTTCATCTTCAGGCAAAAACCCCTCCTCCCTAGGGGTCATTCTGCCTGACTCTGCCCTCTCTGCCTCTGCTCCTGCCAACACACACACACACACACTCTACGCCCCATTCTTGTTAACGGAGGATTTTGGAGCCCTGGCTCTTAGCCTTCTTCTTCTTCATCTTATCCCTTTTCTTACTCGTGTCTTTAATATTTGTGTGGACAACACAACTATCAACCCAGCCTCACCGGGAGCTATTGTTTCTCTGAAATGTTAAACCCCAAGGTCCAATCCGACTATAACTTTAGTTCCTCTAATTATATTGACTCCAGATCTCTTTGAGGCCTCTCTTTTGGCCTAATTATCACCTGTCTAGCCTGGATCCCATGATTCACTTCACTCACTCTCTTGCCAGTATCTTCAACATTCTTGACCCTTTGTTCTTCTTCCTCACATGCCCTACAAATCCCTAACACCTGCCTTTTCCATTCCAAGACACAGGCTTCTGGGTGGTGCTGGAGACAGACCTCAATTGGGGCTATTCCCGGAGTACAATCTCCAGTTTCACCTCAGCTTTCAACTCTGATATACTGTTTTTGAGTTTCTGGTTGGCTTCCTTATTTCTCACAATGGCTTTTCTAAATCTCATATGAAAGGCTCCAAACCTATCCTTACCCTCCTATTTTAGAAGATGGTCTTGCCTCTCAGGTGAGAAAGAAAATTTACCATCTTGCCCTTGTATCTACATACTCATCTATACCTTCACTCAACTTTTCCTCCTTCCCCACCACCTTAAAGGCAATGGTAAACCTTCTGTTTTCACTTACCTGGGCCTTTGGTCTTCCCTTTCACGTTTCTCCTGAGATCTTGCTTTCCTCTCTCTCCTGTATTTTCTTTTTTTCCTGGAGGCAGAGTCTCACTCTGTTGCCCGCCTAGAGTGCAGTGGTATCATCATAGCTCACTGCAACCTCAAACTCCTGGCTGAAGTGATTCTCCTTCCCCCTGAGTAGCTTGGACTATAGGTATGCATCACCACACTCAGCTAATTTTTCTATTTTTAGTAGAGATGGAGCTCTCACTGTTGCTCAGGCTGATCTCAAACTCCTGAGCTCAAATGATCCTCCCCACCTGGCCTTCCAGAGTGCTAGGACTACCGGCAAGAGCCACTGTGCCTGGCCTCTCCTATATTTTCAACCTGTACATCTTGTATGAGCCTTTTCCTAAAAGTTACAAATATGCACAAAATATTTCCATCTCAAAACATAACACTTTTTACCTGGTGTTACCCCCTTCATCTTCTCATCTCTTCTGTTAATGACTGAGTATAAGGCAGCCGCCCTCACTTTTCTACTTCTTCAGCCACTTGCAGTCAGTAAAACCCTGAATCCCAGCCCAACTGAGGTTCCACTGTCTCTGGTCACCAATTACCTCCCCGCGACTATGGTCAATCAACTCATTTCAGTTCTTACTTCTACCTACCTGCCATCTGACATAAGTGACTGCTCCCTCCTCAAACCCCCCTTTTCCCTTACTTCCTGAATACTCCTAGTCTCCTTTTACCTCACTAATAATTTCTCCTCTGCCTCCTTTGTGGACTCTACTTCCTCTCTCTAACCCTTTGTACATGGGGCTATTTCCCAGGGTTTGCCCTTTGTCTTCTTATGCTATGTCTTCTCCCCGAGAAGGCTCAGGTATGACCTATCTGCTGACTCCTCTGGGCTCCCAGACATCTCCAATTGGAAGTTCCAAAGATACTGTATGCTCATCAAGTCCAGAACTGAACTGTTTTCCCCAATATCTCCCAAACCTGTTCTTCTTCCTTTTCCCCTATATCAATCAATGGCAACCCCACTTCCACTGGCTTGGGAGTCATCTTCTACTCTTTTTTCTTCTGCATACCCCACATCCAATTATTCACCAAGTAAATATTGAATCTGTATCGTCTCCATTCCTAAGCCAGTGCCCTAATTCAGATCCATAGCCTCTTCTGCCTGTATTACTGCAACTGCGTCTTAGAGGTCTCCCTGTCTCCAGGCTTGCACCACTTCAATTCAGTCTTGGTTTGCAGCTGCAGCCTTATAAAATGCAAATCTGCTTAAAGTCTTTCAGTTGAAGGAAAAACTAATCTATTGTAGCAGAAAGCAGATCAATGATTGTCTGGGACCAGGGTAAGGGTGGGGAGAATTGAACATAGAGAAGCATGGGGGAATTTTCTGGAGAGGAAGAAATGTTCTGTGTCTTGAGTGACATCGGGTATGTAGGGATATATATATTTACCAAAATGCATCAAACTGTACACTTAAAACTGGTGTTTTGCAGAGAGCAGGTGGTGCATGCCCATAGTCCCAAGCTACTCAGGAGGCTGAGGTGGGAGGAATGCTTGCCCCCAGGAGTTTGAGACCAGCCTGGGAAACATAGTAAGACCATGTCTCTAAAAAAAATAAAAGATTAATAATAACTTTAAAAAACAGTGTTTTGGCCAGGCACAGTGGCTCATGTCTATAATTCCAGCACTTTGGGAGGCCAAGGCAGAAGGATGGCTTGACCCCAGGAGTTTGAGACCAGCCCGAGTAACATAGGGAGATCCTGTCTCTATAAAAATAAAAAAAAGAAAGAAAGAAAGAAAGAAAAAGAAAAGAAAAATCAGCTGGGTGCGGTGGTGTGAACCTATAGTCCCAACTACTCAGGAGACTGAGGCAAGAGGATTGCTTGAGCCCAGGAGTTTGAGGTTGCAGTGAGTTATGATGACGCCGCTGTACCCTAGCCCAGGCGACAGAGCAAGATCCTGTCTCAAAAACAAAAACAAAATCCAAAAACAAACAAACAAAAAAACCCCTGGCGTTTTATTGTACATAAAATATACCTCAATAAATCTGATCAAAGAAACTCATCTGTGTTGCTCACTTCCTGGAGAAGAAAGTTCAAATTTCTTATCCTGGCATAAGTGACGATATGTCTTCTTCTCTTGCTTTTTCTCTGCCCCCATTCTCCAGTCATATTAAATACACTGCAGATCTAAAATGGGCTAGGCGTCCTGCCCCTCTTTCCCCACCTGTTCAATTTGTGTCACCTCTATAAGCCTCCCCTTGGACTCACAGTGATCCTTCTTCCTTTGCACTCACTCCACTAACCCGACACAAATGTTTATCATATAAAGTCTTTGGTTGCTCCTTCACTAGGACCTTGTCGGCTCCATTCTTGCATCTCTAGGACCATCACAGAGCCGCTCAATCCTGATGGAAGGACCCTGCGGTCTGGCGCAAGAGGCAGCAGGACAGACGCCGCTCCTCCAGTTCTGTAAGGGGCGCTGTGGCAGCCACCATGTGTCTGTCGCCGGCTCCGGACTTCCTTGCGCCGGCTCCCAGAGCCGCTTGCTTAGGGCTCCGCCCCCTCCTGGCAACACCCCTCCTGCCCATTGGGCGAACGTGGCCGCGGCTGTCCAATGGCGCGAGACGTTGGTGCGAGGAGGCGCCACCATCTTGGGGCGCTGGGAGCGCTGCGTCGGTGGGCGGCCGCGGGAAGTGGGTGGGTAGTTAGGTAGCTGGGCCCGGTCCCGCGGTCTTGCCTCTCTCCTGTTCCACTCTGGGCCACGATGCCGCAGTTCCAGACCTGGGAGGAGTTCAGCCGCGCGGCCGAGAAGCTCTACCTCGCCGACCCTATGAAGGTAGATTCCTGGTGGGGCCGCTGCTTCGATCCCCAGCCCCAAGTCAGGGTGTCTTCCCGCTGTCCGCTCGGCCTCCCGAGCCTCCCTGGCGCTCCCAGGAGGTGCTGGGGGTGAACAGAGACGGACTCCGCCAAGCCTAATTGTTCCTGCTATCTCCTTCCCTTCCTCCCTGGTCCAGTGGCCCGGTGAGGCCCTGAAACTCGCAACAATGGGGGTCATTTCATCCCTAAGCAGTTTGCTACTGCAGTCGGCCTGCGTCCGCCCCCAATCCCTGAACTTCCTTTATGGGCTTCCTTTATGGGCTTTGTTTGGTTTGCTTGTCTGTAAGGCCGGGGCTCCTCCCCCTGCAACTTCAGCTTCTTGTCCCTTGGTTGTTATGATTCTCTTTTCCCGTGCCAAGGCAGAAGGATAGCTCGTGTTATGTACGACGGTGATGCTTTTCTGCCACCTCTCAGACATTCTTGGAAGATCCTGATTTGGAAGCATCTGCCCCCACCCCCCACCCGAATAGCGGTTCTTAATCTGTGGGAGTCATTGGCCTTTTGAGAGCATGAGAATGCTTTCACACTTTACTCAGAAAAATGCGTCTACACATAAATGTTAGCAGACAATTTCAGTGGGCTCATGAACTCTGCAAAAATTATAGGAAGGGGATGCTAGAAGTTAGCTCATTTTAAAAAGCAAAGAAGTCCAAGTGATGGGAAATTTAGTATTCAGGTCTTGATTTTTCTTTCTCTCTTTGAGTTTTGGCTTCTTTTATTGTCATGTCTAAAAATTATTTGAAGCATGTCCTTGTTAATTAAAAGTTCTCCTTTTACCCCCATAATATGCTGAAATAATAAAAATAAAAAGGAAAAAAAAAGTTCTCCTTTTTAGAACTGAGCATTTTTGAAGGGATTTTGTACGGGAAAACCCAGGCCTGATTATGTGTGATGTACTCGTGTTTTCTGTCTGTTGTAAGTCAGATTTTTTGCTCCATTTATTCCCCACTCATATGTGACTGAACCTCAGGTCATACTGGTTCTGTGGAGACACGAAGGTGAGATTCAGCCTTACCCTTATGGAGCTGGTATTGGAGGGTATTACATATAGATACATTGTGTTGTGAATGTACCCCTCAGAGAAGAAAAAAAATTAAAAGCAGTTAATCTCCGAAAATTGAGGTTCAGGGTTTATGTGAGACTTCTAATCGATCTTTAAGTAACATGAGTTATGTTTTAAATGTATGTAGTGGGGTGGTAACCTGTAATTCCAATGCTACATATTGTTTATAGTGTTCATCAGTTTAAACTGTATAACAAGATATGTTAATAATTATGATTAAAAATAATTTTAGACCCCTAAAACCTAGATAAGTAACAAGAAGGTGTAAAACATTCTTAGTTCTATTCTTTACCATAAAATGATATAATAATAAATAATGAAACAAATTAGGTATTTTTGAAATGAGTAATTTATTTATGGCAGTGGTGCTTTCTGGCTGCTTCATTTGATTGGCTTCCTTTGTTCACAGGGCCATTTTTTTCTTCATTCAAGCAAATCCACCATGAAACCATACAAGATTTTTGTCCAGAAGTACCCATAGTATAAACTAAAAATATTTTTAAAAAACAGCAAAGAATATCTAAACTTGCATCCACGTGACTATATTTTAAGAATGTGGTAGTAGTGGTAGGGAAAATGAAAATAAAATAGTAATTACAGAGCATCACTGTGAACAAAGTATGTCTAGAATAGAGAAGAGAGGGAGAACCTTCTAGCTCTTTACCCAGTCAGAAAATTCCAGTGACCTAAAAACTCATTCTCCTGATAACTTTATATTGGTTTTTAACTGATTTTTTTTTTTTTTTTGAGACAGAGTCTCACTCCTGGGCTAGAGTGCCATGGCATCAGCCGAGCTCACAGCAGCCTCAAACTCCTAGGCTCAAGCAATCCTCCTGCCTCAGTCTTCCGAGTCACTGGGACTACAGGCATGCACCACCATGCATATATTTTTAGTTGTCTAGCTAATTTCTATTTTTAGTAGAGATGGGGTCTTGCTCTTGCTCAGGCTGGTTTCGAACACCTGTCCTTGAACGATCCACCTGCCTCGGCCTCCCAGAGTGCTAGGATTACAGGCGTGAGCCACCGCGCCCGGCCTTTGACTGACTGTTTGATAGGGGAGGGGATGATTGCACAAAGAGAGCTTGCCTGACAGTTTTATTAAGTGCCTTCTATGTTGCAGGCATTTTACATATATGTATAATTCATATGTGATAGACATTATATTTATTTTTTGTATGTTTACGTATATTTATATTTATAACTTCTGTGGACAATTACAGAAACCCATTGAGGTAGATAAACAATTTATATATATAAATGATTTGCCTAGTCTCTAAGAGAGTAAGCCAAAATTTGAACCCAGGTCTTTGAACCCCTTGTCCATTCTGTTTCTGTCAGAGTTAAAGAAGAAATTTTGTCAGGACTCTAGAATGTGCTTTCCAAAATGCTCTTGTCTTCTCCTCCCAACACATTTAACCTGCTGATTATACCCATTATATTTTCTTTTCTTTCTTTCTTTTTTTTGAGACAGAGTCTTGCTCTGTTGCCCAGGCTGGAATGCTGTGGAATCATCATAGCTCACTACAATCTCAAACTCCTGGGCTCAAGCCATCCTTCTATCTTGGCCTCCCAAAGTGCTAGAATTATAGGCATGAGCCACTGTGCCCCACCTACCTATCATCTTTTACCATTCTCACTTGCATTGCTCTAATTGAAGCTGGTATTACTGTTGGACAGTATAATAACTTAATAACCTCTTAGTTGGTCTGTCTGCTTATTTATTTATTTACTTTGAGACAGGATCTCACAGTATCACCCAAGCTGGAGTGCAGTTGCACGATCATAGCTTAGTGCAGCCTGGAACTCCTGGCCTCAACAGTCCTCCTGCCTCATCCTCCCAAAGTGCTGGGATTATAACTGCAGCCACTGTGCCGGGCCCGTTTGCTTTTTTAGTCTGTTTTTGTGCTCTTTGCCACAACTGTCTAAAAAACAATATTTGAATTCTCTGTCTCCTGCTTGAAAACTGGTTCTTCATTGATTACTGGAAAAAGTCTCAACTCCCAGTCCACAGTCTGACCCTATTGCTAGTCTTCACGGCTTTGTCTCCCACTGTTTCACCATCCTTACCTCTAGTCTCATGGAGCAACAGAATGCACTGTGTCTTTGTTCAGCATGGTTCTTCAGCCTTTCTCCTGCCCTCTTCCCTAATGGGGGGAAGTGCAGGCACCTCTTTTTTACACTTTCCTTTCTCCTAGTCTAAATTACTTGTTTCCTGTCTTTAGCGTTTTACCTGTATTTGCCTTTATAGGACTTCATTCATTCTTGTATTTTGTTTATTTTGGTAAGTTGAATTCAAATTTCCTAAGTAGATAAGAATCTTGATTTCTTTTTCTGTAGCATCTCTTCATTGCAGCTGATATCCCAAGCGTCTCCTAAATTACCAAATGTACCCCGTTGTAGTAAGATAGGCCTTTTAACTCTTTATTTCTCCTAATGAAACCAATAAGTATTCTTTTAAAAGAGAATTAAAACTACATAGTTGTCATGGTTAGTATATTTTAAGTTTGTTTCTTTTTGTTTCTAGAGAACTGAATTTTTAAAATATGTAAAACTGCATTTAATAGACCAATAAATAGGATCAGGTATTCCCAAGATAATTAACCTAGTTACTATTATTTATATCTACTTAAGTGCTTGGTGAGTTCTCTTTTCTCCCTCACCAAGACAAATCTCACAGAGTGGTGTAACTTTTTTTTTTTGCACTCCCAGGACTGCAAAGAGCATAATGGGAAAAGCTGTAGGTTATAGCTCTATTAGCCCATTTTAGTTTCCAGAATTGTCCTGAGGCTTTAGTTGCTATACTGTAACCATTTTAAAATTATGTTCCTGTTTTGGCTTGTAGATACTTAGCAATTTTTAAAGTAGCTAGCTAAACAAGTGTTACTGATATTGGTTAGCAAAAAACTGATTCGGCTGCAATACACTTTGCTTGTAGCCATCATTAAAAGAAAAAAAAAATAGATCAGGCATGGTGGCTTATGCCTATAACCCTAGCACTTTAGGAGGCTGCAGCAGGGTTGCTTGAGGCCAGGGGTTCAAGACCAGCCTGGGCAACATCGTAAGACCCTTGTCTCTATAAGAAAAAAAGAAAATAATAAACTGTCTCTATAAGAAAATATAATAATAATAATGTTCATGGAATTGGAAACATTGGAAGATACAGGAGATCCTAATAATAAGTGATGTCTGGGCTACCTAACTGTATAATACTGAACTTTTTTATACAAAAAGTTATGTAGTGTGGCATTCAATATAGTAATAGAAGTTATTCTAGTTTTTGGAAAAGTTGTTGATGGAGACTTCTTTTCAAGGTAGAATTCTGGTCTTAAGTAATAATGCATAATGTAATGCATTCATGATAAAGATATGATTTTGCTAAATACTTTAGTATTTATTCTCCTTCCTCCTGAGTAGCTTGGACTATAGGTATGCATCACCATACTCAGCTAACTTTTCTATTTTTAATAGAGATGGAACTCTCACTGTTGCTCAGGCTGATCTCAAACTCCTGAGCTCAAGTGATCCTCCCCTCCTGGCCTTCCAGAGTGCTAGGACTACCGGCAAGAGCCACTGTGCCTGGACTCTCCTGTATTTTCAATCTCTACATCTTGTATGAACCCTTTCCTAAAAGTTACGAATATACACAAAATATTTCCATCTCAAAACATAACACTTTTTACCTGGTGTTACCCCCTGAATCGAGCTCATAAGAGCCATGGAAAAGTGGAAGGTATGAACTGTATTGCAGTTACTGTTCCTGAGGAATGATTTGGACTTTTTATTTTTTTGAGACAGTCTCACTCTGTTGTCCCGGCTAGAGTACCATGGCATCAGCCTAGCTCACGGCAACCTCAAACTCCTGGGCTCAAGCAATCCTTCTGTCTCAGTCTCCCAAC